TCATGGCTTACTGAACTGGGGTCACATTTTTATCTACTAATTTCTGTTCTTTGATTAACATAACCACCAATCTGGATCCCCGCTAAAAATGCAGTTTTCTTCATTACTTTTGATAGCATACACAGTATGTGTAAAAAGTTAATAGATAGATATTTCTGTATTTTATTCCAATCTATTCTTTAAACATTAATTAATATGATGTTTTCTTATTCAGTTTGAAATCTTTCAGACCTGGAATAGGTGGGGTTTTCCTTCCTTCCCCAACAGAGAGAATTCTGAACTGCCATCAGTAGCAACAGAGATGAGGAAAGCCCAACAGGGGGTGGTTAATCAGAAAAAATAAATCAGCAAGGAAGATATTTTCCCTGGTATTGTTTTACTTTAACATGGAGATGGCAGGACTGAATAATTGCTTTGGATGGGGACTGGGTGTCAGGACTTCTGAATTCTGTGCCTGTCTCTACCACTGATTCACTGCATAACCATGAGCAAGTCACTTAGACTACATTTATTTTACACATGACTGGCAGGGCAACATGTAGGAGAGGTGTAACTTCATGCTGTTGTGAAAAGCAAGAAGTGTCCACAGTGCGGTGGATAGCTACACGTGTCAGTGAAATACTCAGGCATCAGGGAAAGGCTTCAGTAGCTCTCTGCTGCCAAAATCTTTCACTGCAGCAAGGAAAGGGTCTGGCAGCGGGGAGGCACTGGGGAACCCCCCCCCTGCCAAAGCGTTTCACTGCTGCCAGAGTCTTTACCTGCATCAGGGAAAGGCTCAGTAGCAGGGAGCTGCCTGCGCCTTTCTCCCTGTCTTCCTCCTGCCACAGCCTTTCCCTGTTGGTGAAGTCTGTTCCTGCACAGCGGAAAGGTTCCAGCAGCAAGGAGGCAGCAGGACACCACACTGCTAAAAATAGCAGTGTAGATTGGGAAGTATGGCTTATATCCACACCCATCAGGCGTGTCTTCATTGTACTCACCTAAGATGTGTGTCACCGGCTCCACTGCAGTTATACCTGTGCTAGGGTGGCTATACTTGTGTACTGAACACGCCGCCAAAAGAAGAATGCCGTGTAGGCATGCCTTTAGGCTAAAATTGTCAACCTGTGAATGTAAAGTTAGCTTAGACTTCTAAATAAGTGGCCAGGTTTTCAGAGATGCTGAGCACTTGCAGCTTCCTTTGAAGTCAGTAGGAGTTGCGGGAATTCAGCATCTTTGAAAATCAGGCCACTCATATAGGTGTTTAAATATATTGGATTTTGTGCCTGACTTGAGACATCCAAGTTTTAAAATTTTGGCCTTAAAATACCTTTGCTTCACTTTATACACCCTGAAATAGGTAAAATAAATTCCACATGGCTTGGGGTTCTCTGAGGCTTAATTATGGTTTATTAAGTGTTTTGAGATTTTCATATTGAAGCAGCTATCATGGAAAATAATAATAATAATAATTAACAGGAGTATGTGTCTGCATCGGGGAGAATAGTCCCCTTGGAGCTTGGGTATCAAAAAACGTTTACAGGAAAGGATACTTAGAGTCGCATATATCAGTTTTTAATACCACACAAGTATGCCTGCTACAGTCAACAACATTTCAACCTCCCCAGGTTGGGATCTACTAGTATTAACTGAGTATCAGGGAATATAAATAGCCATATTAGTGTGAATGTGAATCATGATCCTATTAATATGTCATGTGACATACAATTCTATGAAATATAGAATATAAAAAGAAAGTGTTTCAGTTGTAATCTGAAGTGTTTCAGATGATAATTGCATATTACCAAAATAACTAAGTAGTAATGTAATAGGGAAAATATCTCTCTTAGGGTTCTGCTAGCAAATCACATGAGCTTTAGACTATGCTTTTATCATACTGTTTTTATTTAATTACATTCATGTTTGAAAATAGGTTACTACCTATGAACCGTGAGATTTTTCACATGTATCATGTTTTAATATGTATGTATAGGTTAACATTCTGCTGTAATACTATTACTGGATATAATATCAAACATGTATATAGTATGAGCTAGTAAATAAAAATACATATTTCAAAACCTAGCATAGATGCATTTACTCCAAAGATCAGAAAAGCACCTTTGAATCTAGTCTACCAACCCAATAAAACATGCTTTATAAAGAAATATAGACACTTGTATTTACCCAATACATTGGAATGTTTCTGAACATAAATCAATTAAATAGTGCATATTTTTGATAAAAAAAAATAGTAATTATCTGGAAGATCCAGATGCTTTTCCTCAAAAAGATCCTGGCTATTGAATTTATATGAACTTTTATAAAACTATTCCTATTTACCTCATTGACTAAAACATTTAAAAAATAAATATTTCTTTTATAGATGTGTCGCTCCCTCTTCAGGATACTGTAAATATACAAATTGGATTTTGTTTAAATAAAATTGAGGGTGGATTGCATGCTGCCAAAGTCTTGAAATTCAAAGTTAAGTCTGACATTTCATTTTGCACCTTAGCCATTAAGCCTTATTTGTTCATTGGTTTTTCACGATGCTGTGAGGAGAAAGGGGTTTATTAGATGAAAGTTGAAAACTGAAATATGCTCCTTTATCAACTAGATCTTACAAGAGCATTCCAATTTTTATAATACAAGTAGAATTGATTGTGATATAACTATAACATATAACACAAGAGGGTTAGAATAAACTATTTATTCTCTATCATTAGGGATGATCATGCATAACTAACAGGTCTCTAGTTTGCTGTGCCACTAGTTACATGTACAGTTACAAAAAAGAGTTTAGCATTCACTTATGTTGCACATTTTCTATCTACCATACTTTCATTAAAAGTCTTTATTTGGAAGAACTGAACATCTCAGGGAACTGGTAACATTTATTTGACAGCTAAGTCATAGTTTGAATCTGGTCCCTTCTGGCAATGACTGTGAGCCAATTTCTGATCTCACTTACATGTGGCGTCTAGTAGACTGGTAACAACCATCATTTGACAATAAATAGAAGTTTTGGTGCATAGGCCAAAGACTGAATTGTCAGGAAGACTGAATGACTCCCTCCAAATCAGGGTTCAAGCACGTTGGTACGACAGTGGAGAACCTTGCTCTGTCACTGCCCATGCTGTATAAATTCTGTGGGTTTCCATTTCCTGTGCTGTCAACTTACAAAAGCCTTAAATTAATTTCAGAATAAATAAAGCTATCTGTTATAGCATCCCCTGTCTGTCTTTCTGATATGTTGTCATATTTCCCAAATATCTAAAACTATAATTGTACTCTGTGTAGCAACATCTCACAGTACCATCCAAAAGGTTTGATTCCTAAGCTTAATGTGGATGGAATCTCCCATTGTACATTCTCCCTCTGATTAAAATCAGGTGGGATAGCACATATCTAAAGGCAACCAATATTGAAAGAAAATCAAAACTTGCTAGAGTTTATTTTGCACCATTTTTTAATGGGATACAATATGAACATACATGTAAATTAGTCTGTCAGACAGTCACAGTCTTGCCAAATAATAATATAAACTGTATTTTAAAAAAACAGTCTATGGACATCAGTGATAAGGCTCCCTCTACTGGAGTGTATTACTAATAATGAAGTTTCTATGCAGAGAGTTCCCCCTATTGATGTGAGTACACAATTTAGTGATAATGGAGCTTGATTAATGGAGTTCTCTGGCTTTCCTTGCAAGAAATGTTCATTAAAAATATCTAAATTAGTGCCAATAACACTATTCTGCTCAACAAAGCAGTGGTGTATAGCAAGGGTGTATTATGGCAAACATGCTGTCCCTTATGGACAATAAATCGTATGGATGTGTTTTAAAATGCTTTATCACCATCATATATAGAATTAATTATTTTATCGGGGTTCTTTATTTATCATTTTCAGGCTTAGGGTGACTGATAGAAATTCAATTATATGTTAAGTGACTATTAAAGCATCAGGACTCATCTGGGGGTCTAGGACTTCCTTCCCCTCTTCTCATACAATTGTGCTAAATCCATTAATGTTGCAAATAAATGTATGTTCATCAGGTATAGTGGTGGAGGCCAGGGTGCATATAACCGCGTTTACTGCATATGAGACATTGCAGTCCTATTCTTAAGAACTGCCAAGCAGATTGGGAATCACGGTCACGCTTAATAGCAGCGAATTGCCAGCTCTTGATGGGTGGGTAGTCACTCCTTTCAGTGGTTGCCCCCTGGGGGAGAAGGTAGAAAAACAGAGAGAGGGAATTAGAGTGACTTTGCACAGTCGAGCAGGTTCATGCCGCTGGATCAGTAGCAAGCATTGGCAGGGCTCCACTCTGGGGAGGCTCACAACAACATCACAGTCTCATTTTTACCAATTGGTGTTGCTATAGCCAGTGGTGCACAGGGGGAGAGCAAAGAAAATGGGAGGGGTGCGGGGGAATAGGAAAGCAGGAGTCTGGGCTAAATTAAACAAACAAAAAAGTACTTGTAAGTTAGCGTTTAACCCATAACTGCTTGCCTGGTGCTACTAATTGTACTAAACTATAGTACTGGAAGTTCAGTGTGTGATTAAAGAGTTGGCTCACAAACTCTCTGCATAACCTTAATTTTTTCAAGGTTCTTTGAGTGTAGAATGGCTTATAATAACGATTTTGACTAATACGATTTTTGACATGCAACTTTAATGCTTAACCTTAGTACAACTCCAGAGCATTTCATGTGTATTCAGCTGTAAAGAGTGATGATTTAAAGGGATAATATAAGAAAAAGGTCGTTCTAGAATGAACCTCTAACAAATTGCATAAAGGAAGCTTATTATTCCATGAGTAGAGGGATATGCAGCTTTTCTGATCATTTTTCTGCTTGGTTCAAAAAATTGTTGAGACATGATTGGGGAAAGAAACACAAAAAATGAAATAGAAAACTGCAAGCAGTGAACATTCTTTTGATGGTTATGATTTTGTAGCCACTAAAAATACTCTACAATAATGTAATTATTCATCTTTTCTCTTGTTTTGGGTGAAGAATTCGCTCCAATAAGAAAATGCTGTTACTGGTCGGAGGATTGCCTCCCGGACCTGACCGGCTACCCAGCAATTTGGTTCAGTATTATGATGATGAAAAGAAGACATGGAAAATACTGACAAGTAAGTGGTTTATTTTTTGTAGAATTGTCTTGATGAATCTAAAACCATGGTTAATTAAATTAGACATTTTATTGATTTGTTTCCCTTCAGAGATTTGTTTATGTATCACAAGCAGTTTCACAATGGAGCAATAAATTGAGATTGCAGAAGATGCTAATTTTGTAATGGAATAAGACTAATTTAAACTGGCTTAAAATCATTCCAGTAAGTTTTAAAAGTAAACTTGCAAAGCTTTCATACCGCAACACATATAAGCTAGTATTTTTCAAAAATAATGTGAAGTTGGAGGCAATTTCTCAGATTCAGCTCTCTGGCTAACCATGCCTTTTAGAACACACTTTCTGTTGTGTTTTGCACTTTTGTTTCCCTCTTCAGCATTTATGTCTTGTCCATAGTCATTAAAGGTAGTTTTCCCCATTGTCCTCTACATCCGTTGCTCACAGCATATTAGTGGTATGTATCAGCTACAGTAAATAGTGCTTAGAGGCTTTATGTATAGAATTTTTCACCCCATTCTTTTCTTAAAGGGTGATTGTGTTTTACAGCAAGTGTTTTGCCTCAAGCATTGAGATTTGGAACTTATTGTTATATTGGTTACAATTCCCAATCTAACTTGGTCATGGAAGCAAATCAGTTTCTTGAAAGCAGCAGGCTGTGTGTGTATTTGCCCCCTTGTGGTTAGACTGGCTGCAGTGGTCAATAAAACTAAATTTTAACCAAGGCAGTATAGATAAAATAATAAATGAACAACTTTGAGCCATAAATCAAAGCCATACTTCTTAAACTGGAAAGCTAGTAAAGCTTGGATTTCCTAATGGATTTCCAGTTTTCACAGTGAAACATCTTTTACAAAATTCTATACTTTTATACAAAATCTTTTAATAGGATGAAGCCAAAATAGTATTTGTTCATAAGACAAAGCAAAAGTAAAGATAGATGAGATGTAGTGCTTGAAATAATGCTTCTTCAAGCTGGTTTACACAGTGAAACTAAACTGGCATAATCTACGAACTACATCAAGAAGACTCCCTAGGTACCAATACTCTGAATTAGTAGTAGATGATGTTGTGTAAGAAAAGCAATATTAAAGAGAAGATATGAACTATAGTCTAGAAAAGTCTGCATTTATCACTCTGTTCTGGTAGACATGTCAGTAATGACATTTCAACCATCAAAACTATGATGATATTGCCTTTTATCATGACAGTTTACTTTTAAGAAAAATCTGTAGGATAATAATAGTCAGTACAAACAATGTGTTTTGTAAGACAGAAGTAATCTATTTTTCTGATGTTGTTTTGTAAAATACAGTACCTCACAGTGAGGCACAAGTGAACTAGAGCTCTCTGTAGAGTAGGAGACTCACGTTCTTGGCCTACAACTGAATGACTGATACTATTTCATTCCATACTCACTGTCTAGGACAGAGGTGGGCAAACTACAGCCCGTGGGCCACATCCGGCCACATCCGGCCAACGGGACCATCCTGCCCGGCCCCTGAGCTCCCAGCCGGGGAGGCTAGCCCCTGGCCCCTCCCCCACTGTCCCCACCCCCGCAGAGCCACGCCGCCGCATGGGCAGCGCTCTGGGCGGTGGAGCTGCACGCTCCTGCCGAGCAGTGTGTCTGGCTCCAGCCGGCGCGGTGACCAGACAAGTGGGCCAGGGCCAGGGCCGGGGGTTGTATAAGGGGCCCTGGGGCAGTCAGGGGACAGGGAGCAGGGGGGGTTGGATGGGTCGGAGGCTCTGAGGGGGGCAGTCAGGGGGCGGGAAGTGGGAGGGGGCGATAGGGGGCAGGGGCCAGGCTGTTTGGGGAGGCACAGCCTTCCCTACCCGGCCCTCCATGCATTTTTGCAACCCCAATGTGGCCCTTGGGTCAAAAAGTTTGCCCACCCCTGGTCTAGGACCTGGTCAGTGTCCTGAATCTATTTATATTTGCAAATATACTTTTATAGGAATGAAATTTGACAGCTGATTATTTAAATGGATACTATCCATTAGTTTGGGGGAAAATTGAACCATGCTAATATTATATGCATATTCCGGTAAAGAACATTGTTCAGATTCTAAATTAATTGGCCCCAGTTCACACACAATGTAATTGAAATGACTGAATTTGAGTTACGCAATGGATGAATTTTGACTAGTGCCCATTTTTTTTAAAAGTATCATTCTGAACTTCAAGAAGTTTTTAAAGAATATTTTTGTGCAGCTTACCAAAATAAAAGCCCTCAGATAACTGCTTGCTAGAGGGCATATTCTTTCTGTTGCCCTCTAGCAAGCAGTTATCTGAGGGCTTGTCTACATGGGGCAGCAGTGCGCACTAATGTGATGCACAATAACTGGTCTGTGTAGACCCTGCTGGTGTGAATTCAAAGTTCCCTAGTGCACACTAGCATAGTACTTTTTGAAACCTAGCTTGAGTGAGAGCGACCAGACTGTAAACAAAACTGGAGTTACACAGAGTGATTTGGTTAGCAGCACAGAGTGATCAGATTAACAGAGTGATTGGATTACTACTGATGAGTTGTAACTCAGCTGTTGCATCCCCACTCCATTGCTAGCTCAAGCATCAGCCCCCCAAAACCCTCAGCAAGTGATCTACCTTGAGCTTTAAAGCACCACTTAACTTGAGGTAGAGATTTGTGTGTGTGGACAGGTGTCAAGTTAGGGGTAACACACAAGTTATAACTCAAGCTAACTGTGCTATGAAGACACACTTTATGTCATATTGGGAACACAAAAAATATCAATATTTGCACAGTGGAAAATGTCAAATATAACAGGGACATCTTCTTAGAACATATTACAGATACTCCCTAAATAATGAAAGGTAACAATTTAAAACCTTTATGAAAGATTGAAATAGCCATTAAGCTGTTTACAATTCTATAACCCACCCCCCCCCCCATCACCATTACCTAGTTCATCACGAAGCAACACGGGAAGCAAGGGAAACAAGGAAAGGTGAGTAGAATTTTCTTCCGAATCTCTCCATAAAACATAAACTAACACTACAGAACAGTGGTACATAAACTTGAAGAGCAGGAGAGGAATATCATAAATGAATGGATTTGGAGAGAACCAGAAAGTAATCACAGCACAACACCCTGACATTGCATTGCAGTCATGGCATTGCATCAGCATGTGTAGTGGTGTTTAGTTATCACAAGACAGTGCCAACCTATATTTGTTGCAGAACATGAGACAAATATTGCAGTGCAGTTCCAGTACACTGTGCCATCTTTATTTTCTGTTGTAATATCTCTTTTATTCGTACCCCACAATCTTGGTTCTTAGAAATGGAATATTTCTCTGGTTCTCTCCCGTATGGTTTTCAGTGCATAGTGTCTGAAAAAAATAATAGTTTTCCTATTTTTACCCAAATTCCTGACTGCTGGGGAGGGAGGAGAGGGTCCTCTTTTGTATCTGTCTTACCAGCACGACCAGTTCAGACAATGCTGCCCATCCCAGAGCCGCAGGGCACCCCCAAGTCATGACGACACCATCAATTGAAGTGAAAAATGTACTGCTCATTCTGCAGTGAACCATAGGGTGGAGCATGAGCTGCATCATGCTGACAGAGTGCTGTGATGATAAGCCCCACGGAGATTCAGGATTTCTCCCGCTTTATCTCATCAATGGCTGAGATATAATGGATGTTCTTCCTTAACAGAAAACCTCCATAAGCTGTTTTCCTAACATCCCTCATACACTCCCCAGAGGCCAAATTCCATGCTCATTTACACCAGTGTAAATCTTAACAAATGCCACTGACTTCTTAAAGTCACTTTGGATTTACACTGGTATAAATAAGCACGGAATTTGGATCCTGGTTTGTCCATATTACCTATTCTCCCCATCTCTCCCTTCACTCCTACAAGTGGTGTGTCATCGGAGCATGGGGCAGGTGAGGGTGGGAAGAGAAGATAGGAAATGAAATCCTGCAACTGGGAGACTGTATCAAATGACTCAGGAAGGAGCCCCAGATATTCTTGAACTGGGCCTGTTAACCTGTTAGAGAGTGGTGGTTACCCTCACCTCTCAGAGACGGAGTGGCTTTTGCACCAGTCCATTTGCTCAGTGCTCCATGAGATGCCTTATGTGAGACACAAGCAAAGCAAGAATATCATCCATTGGAAACCACAGACTCACCACAAACCATGATACTCAGGGGTATGAAAAGAGTTGCAGGTTGAGCATCACAGCTGTTCAGTATGAGAGCTTTGCAAAATAAAAATTTTGCTTTGTTCACGCTAGATGACTAGATCCGTTGGCAAGGGATACTGCCCTCTTCTCTGTTCCTGGCTTCGCAAAGCAACTAATGCATCAGGACTAATGGGAGTAATTCTGAAGGTATCAGGAAAATAACTCACCTTTTTCATAGGACCAGAGAAGGAGGGGAGACATGCACCCATTTCTGATTTTAATGTCAACCTCTATAAGCAAGACTGTTATGGCTCATGGGCTCATTAGATTTTTTACAGTCCAGTATTATTGTGTATTTTCCCCTTTTCCCTGCTAGTACTTCTCTCAGAGTAGCTGTTTCTTAGGCTGGGAACAAAGGAGAGAGCGGGAAGTGTGGTGTTTTAAAAGAATATATTGTCATCTAATTTTACCTTCAGTGGGCTCAATTCTAATTTGAGATAAATGGATGCACAATGCTATATATCTTTAAATATTTGTTATTGCACATTCGTGTCCAAGCACAGTAGAAGATTTTACAAGCTACATGGTAATGTGTAGTGAACACATTTAATACAGTAAACTGTTCTTTGCTGAGTCACCCATATTCTCACATGTGTGCGCGCACGCACACACACACTTTAAAGTAATTAAGTGTTATCTGTGTCTTATAGCAGCAACAGGCTACTACTGCTCTCAGTAGCACTAGTTCATCTTGAACTGACAGGTGTTCGGTGGCCCCAATTAGCAGCAGAAGCATTGCCCTGCTGCTGGGTGCTTCATCGCTTAATACCCTCTCAATACTCCTTTAAATGGAGT